TTTCAGAATAAGAGGCTACTTGATTTATTTATTTATTTATTTATTGGTTCGATTTATATGCCGCCCTTCTCTGGAGACTCAGGGCGGCTTACAATGCTTTTAAGCAATAGCCTTCATACTTTTGTATATACCTGCTTAGTAGGGCTTTTGGCCCCCCCAAGCAGTGTCTATTTTATACAAAGTCAGCTTATTGCCCCCACAAACCAACTCGCAGTAATTGCAGGCAGCTGGCAGCTAAATACTACTTTAACAGTAGTTTAGTCCTCTGCACCACCAGGCTCTTTAAAAGATCATGAATTAAGATTTGGATGGCACGATTATTTATGGTATGAAAGATTAAAGAAAATGTTGATTTCAACAACCACTTTGTTAGACATGCCATTCTAAGAGTATGTAATAAATATAAAACAGGATTTTCTATGAAGATGCCTCTTTGGGTGTCCAGAAAGAAAAGAAAAGAAAAGGTGGTGAAGCCGCATTGGTGCACTTATGGTACAATAATATTTTTTAATTTTGATGATCCTATCCTCAAGTCTAAGGAACAGCTAGAATCAGAAGGATGTGTCTGCCACTGGATTACATACTTAAAACTGAAAGGAATTTAAAGTAGACAAAAAGAGTTTGATTTTGTTAAAAATGAATTAGAAATCATACTGGGTGGTAGTCAGTGGTGGGTTCCGCCCGGTTCTGCCGAGCTGCCCTACAGCTGATCAGTGTTAAAAGAAAACAAATGAGTAGACCAGTGCCTGCAAAAATACATGAGTAGATCAGTGCCTGCAAAAAATAAATGGGTAGATCGGTACAGCTCTGCAAGCAATCAAAAGCCTGGTAGACCAGTATCTCTGCTAAATCCTAAATAATTGTCACATGACCATCAAGCCACGCCTATAAAATAAGCCACACCCACAGAACCGGTAGTAAAAAAATTTAGAACCCACCCCTGGTGGTAGTGATGAACATATTATTGCTAAGGTCTATAAAACATTTTTGAATTTAAAGTTGGAAAGTGAATATGCAAAACATTGTATGATTCAGTGGGCAAGGAACTTTGGATATAATGTAAAGTTTGAACAATGGGAGAATATGTTGACAAAAATTTTAAAATTTATACTAAATTACAGTTTAAAAGAAAAAACATTATAAAATGATGTATTGTCAGTATTTAACATCAGATAAGTTATCAAGAATGTGTAAAAGTATTTCATATGAATGTTGGAAATGCAAATGTAAAGAAGGGACTTTCTATCATTTATGGTGGACATGTGATGAAGCAAAAAAAAAAAAATTGGAGTAGGATGCCCATTCTAATACAGAAGTCCATAGAACACATAGGCCATACGTTGCTCACGTCTACAGGTAGTCCTTGACTTACAACAATTTATTTAGAGACAGTTTGAAGTTACAATAGCACTGAAAAAAAGTGACTTAGGACCAGTGGTGGGATTCAGCCAGTTCGCACCACTTCGGGAGAACCGGTTGTTAATTTTCTGAGCAGTTCGGCAAACTGGTTGTTGGAAGAAATCATTAGGGCAGAGAACCGGTTGTTAAATTATTTGAATCCCATCACTGCTTAGGACCATTTTCCACACTTATACCTGTTGCAGCATCCCCATTGTCACGTGATCAAAAGTCAGACACTTGACAACTGACTCATATTTATGACAGGTGCAGTGTCCTAGGGTCTTTGCGACCTTCTGGCAAGCAAAAGTCAGTGGGGAAGCCAGATTCACTTAACAACGGTGTTACTCATTTAACAACTGCAGTGATTCACTTAACAGCTGTGGCAAGAAAGGTCGTAAAATGGGACAACACTCGCTTAACAAATATTTCGCTTAGCAACAAAAATTTTGGGCTCAATTTTGGTCGTAAGTCGAGGACTATCTGTATTTTGGTTTTGTTTTTTTGTGGTGCCTTCAAGGGTGGTTGGTTTTTTTTTTTTTTTACTCCTGGTGAATGTCTGGATAAGTCCTTGCAGTTTTCCAGGCAAGATTTTGGAAATGGATTGCCCTTGTTTGCTTCCTAGGACTGAGAGTAACTAGCTTTGTGCCTAAGGGAGGATTAGAACTCATGGCCTCCCAGTTTCTGGTTTACATCAAACATTACAATTATAAGCTAATCAAACTTATTTCAATATGTATATATCCCAAAATTTTGGTGGCACATTTGCCTCTTCTCACCATGCACAATCATTTAATGTATTACCATCTATGAACTGGACTGAATTTCCCCATGGTCTGTAATTCCAATTAGCACATTTGGTATTCAGAAATTAAGGCCAACTATGTACTACCAAATTCTATAAAAGTCCAGCAGCAAAGAAACACAGAAAACTTTTGTTGCCATCTGGTGGTTATTTGGATTTTTGTAGTTGAGGTATCGTAGCCCAATAACTCAAACCCAAGTGTGGTAATTTAACAGTGCAAGAGTGCATCCTATTTTTGAATGTTGTGCACATGTGATTGTATTGTGGACCACAAAGACAGATAATTGTTTGATTGATTCTCCGAGTGGTTTCTTTGTTCTGCTTTTGTCGCAAAGCAGCAGGGCCATCTCAAATTAAGTTATGGTTTGGAGGGTGTACCAATTTGTATCACACATGTTGAAGATCTTAGCCATCTTGTCATTTTCCAAAAATCTGATAGCAGCGAAAATAACATGCTGATTACTGGTTCACAAGAAAATTGGCTTGGCAAAGTTGTAACTGTTAGAATAACATATAGTTGAGGTTTAAAATGGAGTGAATCACCATTTGAGCTTGATTGTTCTTACCACAAATGACTAGTCCTCTAATTTTCTCTTTTCTTCCTCCTTCAATTCTGCATAACTGATGAGCGACATGAAAGGCCAACCATTTAACATTTCGTATTCAGTTAGACAATGGAGAGAAAACTTTCAAAAAGCTTTTTACATCCTAACCCAAATTTTGATTTTTCTGATATAAGACAACATTTAAAAAAAAAAAAATTTTTTTTTATTTATATGCCGCCCTTCTCCGGAGACTCAGGGTGGCTTACAGTGTGTTAAGCAATAGCCTTCATACTTTTGTATATTTAAAGAAAGTCAACTTATTGCCCCCACAAACTGGGTCCTCAATTTACCTACCTTAGAAAGAATGGAAGGCTGAGTCAACCTTGAGCCTAGCGAGATTCGATCTTACTTTAATTACAGACAGCTGGTGTTAAATTACAGTGCTTCTGTCAGTTGAGCTATCAAGGCTCTACATTGAATTTGAATACTTTCCCCCTGCAAACAGTAACAGTGCCACTACGAAGCATGATACATTTCTACTAGAACCATTCTGGGTCAGTCACTGGGACTAGAGGTTTAGTCTTCTGAGTTTTTGGACTTGTGCTGGAGCCCATCTTCAGGGAACTTCCCTCTAGCAGAGTGTGTCAAAATTCCCACCAGAGTTTACCAGCACCCCAAAATGTTATCCACTTCATGTTCTCCTCTTCATCCCTAGCCCAGACTCTCTTCAGACCTATAAGCAACACAAAATTTGTTCATAGTGGGAAGCCAGGGAATATCTCCTTTTATACTGGTAGTCCTTGATTTATGACCAGTTGCTTAATTGGGAGCCATGGTGGCACAGTGGTTAGAATGCAGGCTAATTCATTGCTCACTCCAGGAGCAATTCGATCCTGAGTGGCTCAAGGTTCACTCAGCCTTCCATCCTTCCAAGGTTGGTAAAATGAGGATCCAGATTGTTAGGGGCAATAGGCTGACTGTGTAAATTTCTTAGTGAGGATTGTAAAACACTGTGAAGTGGTATATAAGTCTAAGTGCTATTGCATTAAGTAAAATGCAATAGCACTTTTGCATTAAGTAAAATGAATTCACTTAACAACTGCTGAAAAAAATGCTGAAAAATTGGATCAGGTCACATGGTGCCTCAACATACAACAGCAATAACATACAATGATCATTTCAGCTTCAATTACAGTTGTAAATCAAGGACTGTCTGTATTCAGCTCCAGGCCTATCGCTTGTAATTCCTTTGATTCTAAGGATTGGCTGACAATACAAAGCAAAGACATTAGCATTTATGCAGATTCTTCCCTTCAGCTGAGACAATTTTAAGTAATTTGCATGCAGCGATTGATTGACTAAATGTTTGATGGTGACAGTTTAGCTTTATATCCTGATTTTGTTCTTGGAGCTGGTGATGTCCTACATAGCTTTCCTTGTCCAATTTTACTACACAACATCCCTGTGCAGTAATTAGGCTGAGGCTGAGCTAGATTTTGGGTCTCCCTGGTGTTTGCCTGACAGCTGAAGTAACTCTGGCTTTGATTTCTGAAGTATGGACATTGGACATAGATTAAAGCGAAGCTATATTTCTGAAGCAAGGGTCAGTCCCACTTGATATGTGCTCCCTTTTTGCTCTGCTCCCACTATTTTCACCATCTTTTCTGTTCCACACTGCTACCAGATGAAAACATGATGAGTTTCATGAAATATATATATTCAATATTCACAGTGTTTTTTTAAAAAAAAATCCTATTCAAAGATAGCAGAAATTTAAGTTTAGTGAAGATTCTAGTTAAATTAGATGAGGTAAATTTGGTCCAATTTCACAATGATAAAAAAAGTCCTGAAAATCCATGTCATAATAATTCATGTTTTTCTCTGACTGGGCTATACAATATGACTCTCCCGAGCACCAATCTGTCTACAGATACGTTCATATTGTCTCCTTCTCTCTTCCTTCCCTTCCCTTTTCTCATTGAATGTATTGATTTCAAGGCACCTTGGATATCACTTGATCTGTAATAATGAAAGCCAGCTGTGGTACTTTAGGCCAATCCTCTTCTCTTAGCCCTACTCACTTCACAAGACTGTTGTTATGAGGAACATAAGGGGGGGGAAGGGATGCTAGTTATTCTCACCATCTTGAGTTATTTATAAATTCAATATTTTATTATAAAAAAAATAAAATTAGGAAATAAATAGCACTTAAGGCCAAAGCTTATATTGTGTAACAATTACCTCGAAGCAAGTTACAGTGTGTTCTTTATTTTTTTTTCTTTCCAATGTTATACTTTGAATGAAAAAGCCAAATAATTTCAATGCTTGTAACATCAATATCCTAAATCGTAGCTAATATTGATAATATATCTACTTTTCTTTACTCCCAATACATCCAATAACAGAATGTTAAGAATTTGCAACTACAGTATATCATATAAATATCATTGTACTGAAATAACAATATATTGAGACTTATAAAGAGAGGCATAAAAGATATAATTGCATCCATCTCCATGTCCAGTGCAGGAATTTGTAACAACAGTATTCCTGTCAGATATCCATCCAGCCTCTGTTTAAATATCTAGAATGGAGTCTTGTGGTTTGCCACTCATATTTCCTCCCAGCTTGATTTCAAATTGTTGACATATATTTGTCTGGTATGATTGTGGAACCACTGGCCTAATTCTCTCACTGGTAGGATAAATACAGCTCAGATTTTGCCATCTTTTGTACAGAATTTCATGGGAGACTGTCAGATGCTTTGCTGAGGTTAAGGTACAATGTGTTCATTTCATTCTGTAAGCAACTGAACCGGTCACACTATGTCAAAAAGAAATTGAGTTAGTTTGTCATAAGTTGTCCTTGATAACTTGCTGACTCTTGCTAAGCAATACATTCTTTTCCATGAATGCAATGTTCACAAACCAAATGCTTAATAATATTTTCCAGAGTTTTGCTCAGTACTGACTCAAGAAGATTAGTCTACAGCTTCCTAGATTCTCTTCTACCCCTTTTTGTAATTTGGATAAAATATGTCCCTCTCTGTTCTTTTGGCATTATGCCTATTCTCCATGATTTCTCAAGAATCACAGAAAGGGCTCAGCTCCATGATATCATCCACAAGCTCAGTCAAGACTTTCAGGTCTAATCAATCTGATCCTGGAGTCATAGATCATCTCCTTAAGCTATTTGACTCCTGTTCACAAACTACAAATTAAGCCAAATTAAGTGTCTGTGGAGATTCTCAGTCATCCAGGTCATGGTTGACTCAAAGGTGGTTTTTCAAGAAAGCTTCTTTCTCTAGAACTGAAGGAGCTTCTTGGATGAGAAGCAAAACATCTTCAAGGAAAAACAAAGTCCAGTTGCCTTTTGAAAAAGCACCTTTGGGACAAGCCAATTTAAGATTTCCCCTTCTAAATCTAAATCTCTTCCACCATTTTGATGACAGTGATGACCTGATGTTCTGTCTGGACCACATTTACCAGGCCATTGTTTTGTGAACTTTTTACTTTTCCTGTCCATTCTGGATAACCAAACACCAAGTAGGTTTTCCTTTTTTAGGCAGGACTTTATGGACATCTGGTTTTCATTGATAAACCTTTTATATGAAGTCTTCACTTAGACTTTCCTTCATACTCAACATCTGGTAAATCCACTGGTGTTTGGTTGAAAAAAAAAAGTACAGTTTTTATCATTGTTCCTGTCTCTTGAGTTGAAGGGAGACAGTGGCAGACCTGTGCCAATTTCACCTGGTTACCAAAAATAAAAAAGATTTAAAAATTAACTCTCACTAGGGAGCTTGTGAAAAAGAAAAGAAGGAAAAGGAAGAATTACAATTTTACCGTTGATTCAGCTACTTGAGCCAGAAGGGGGAAATGATTCTTGTCTGTTTTACCTGTCAAAACAGAAAGAAATGTTTCACAGTTGTGTCAAACAAAAAAGAAAAAAGAAACAACAGTTTTATAGTACATTCCTTCTGCCACTTTGACTAAAAGGAAAAAAATAGCAGAATATGTGTATCAGTGAACATGCTAAAATTTAAAAAAAAAATCTAACCTTTCCACTGTTCCATTGATAATCTTATTAAAAAAAAACATGGCATTGGAAGGCAGTGTTCTGGTGATCCCCAATGAATTAGAGATGTTCCTGAAGCAGGCTGTAGATCAGGGGTGTCAAACTCAAGGCCCATGGGCCACATCTGGCCTGCGGGGTGCTTAGATCTGGCCCAAAGGCCTGCTCTGGAAACAGCAAATGCCCGCCCCGCGGTGCCTCTGCTAGTGAAAATGAGCCTGTGTGGGCTGCGTGTGGTCTCCGTTTTTACTGGCAGACGGCTGCAGGAAGCCGTCACGGCTGAAAATGGAGCCTCGATGAGTAATATCGAGCTGGCCACACTCCTGACTATACCCCCTGCCCCCCTAGGTCAAACACAACCCTAATGCGGCCCTCAATGAAATCGACTTTGACACCCCTGCTATAGATAGTTGGAGTAGAGTCAGTGGTGGGTTGTCCCCGGTTCGGACCGGTTCTATAGAACCAGTAGTAAAACCAGCGGGAGGTTGGGGCCCAGCGACCCCAACATCATCAGGAAGCTTCTGCGCATGTGCAGAAGCGCACGAGCGAAGCGAGAGCGTGCTGCCTCATTGCGAACCGATAGTAAAGATAAGTAGAACCCACCCCTGAGTAGAGTGTTTTGATTACAATAAAATGAAACATAGCAACTGGACAGCACTGTTTGCAACTGCATTAGAAAACACCATTTTTGCTCCCTAGCAGAGAGAAAAAAGGAGGGAAGTCACCTTCTTAGATGGACTAGAGCAGTGATGGCTAACCTTTTCCAGACCGAAAAGTGTGCGTGTGCATGCCCGAACCCCAAGATGCAATGTGTGTGTGGGCCCCGTGCATGCGCCCTCCCCCGCATGTGCACATGGGCCCCCGCACGTGCCCCCTTCTCACGCGCCCTGCCTCTTGCATATGTGCAGCAGAGAGCTGAAGACCAGCTGGCTGGTGGGAGGTGTGTATGCATGCACGGCAGAACTGGACTGGGGCAACGGCTCACATGTCCACAGCAGTGGTGGGTTCCTCCCGGTTTGGCCCGGTTCTCCCGAGCCGGTAGCGGTGACGAAGAGTAAGAGTAAAAAGGACAGTGACTTTGGCCAGTCACTGTCTCTCAGCCCAATTCTCTTCACAGGGTTGCTGTTGTGGGGAATGTAGGAGGAGGAAGGAGTATCATGTGTGTTTTCTGCCTTGAGTTATTTATAATATAACATATACTACTTATAGTATAACATATACTACTTATAGTATTATAATACTTATAATAAAGGTGGGATATAAATAAATAAAAATAAAATAGAGTTGTATTTCTAATATCTAATTTCTGAGATGTTCCCAACTATTTTGCACTCCCTTTGACCTGAAGATTTCTGTTTTCCGGTATTCAAACTCATCTTTTTAAAGACAGTTCTTCATGCTACTAATTAAAAATATTAGGAGCCATCAATCTTGAATATAGGGTAGCTTTAAAAAAGAAAAAGACATTCTCTAAATCTGTATCAGGTGGATGAGCAAAAAGATAGGAAAAAAACCCTGTAAAAAGCATGGTAGGATTACTAATGGAATATATAATTTGGATTTCAGCAAAATAAAATATGAATAAATCAAGCTTGATTTCATGAGATCTTTTTCTATAAGTACCCAGAGCTTTGGCTGAAGTTTCATTGTTTCTTTAAAAATTGAGTTGAGTTGTAAGCTTTGCTTATGAAATACATTTGCTCACAAATCCTATCTATCCAAGTGAAATTTACTTCCAGGTAATAATCATTAGATGAAACTATAGTGCCAGGAAGATCTAAGCTATTCTGCATCTAAGGTAGATTTCGTTTCTGCTGAATTGCTCCTGCGCTTAAGTCATCAGTTTCATACTGAAAATTAGACTTGATTTTTAAGCGGACAAAAACCTACATTTGATTTAATTTAGCAATAGTACTTAGACTTATATATCACTTCACAGTGCTTTATAGCCCTCTTTAAGCGGTTTACAGAGTCAGCATATTGCCCCCAACAATCTGGGTCCTCATTTTACCTACCCCGGAAGGATGGAAGGCATTTTACCCACCCTGGAAGGATGGAAGGCTCATTCAACTTTGACCCTAGTGAGATTTGAATTGCCAAATTGCAGTCAGCCGGCAGTCAGCAGAAGTAGCCTGCAGTACTGCACTCTAACCACTGCGCCACCATGGCTCATTTGTGAATGAAACGATTTCAGGCTCTTAAATGCAATTCATATGATTCTCTCCTATTGATAGGATATTCTCCTTCTGTCACACTGAACAAACCCTGTTCAAAAAATAATATTTGGAGAAAAACTATGGGCCGCATTCAAGAATGCTGCAGCGTATATGTAGGGTAATTTAATGTAAAGGGAAGAATGGATTAAAATGAAGAATGGTGACCTGAACGAAAATACTTAATATGAATCGGGTGAAAAAGTTGCTTCTGTAATAACTAGAAGGTCAGCCTTATAAACAAGGGGAAGGGGAAATTATTTTGTGGCTTTCATTCTACAACAAGAAGAAGCAAAACTGAGCTAATACCTAAAAGAATAAATTTCTGGTCCACGACAGTAATTACGATTCTGTATAAACAGTCTCCCATGCAGTTCTAAAATTGCATTTGTGTGAAAGGATTTTGTTCAGTCAGGTTATGTATACTGAGGGACAGGGAGTTCAGAGGGCAACCAACATAGACTCAGTTTATGGGCAATATTTGGTTTCAAGGGGATTCAATCACTTAAAACATAGACACCAGAGTGAAAATGGCAAGGCATTAAAAACCATTTTGATTTCTTTTAGCGCTCTCTCTCTCTCTCTCTCTCTCTCTCTCTCTCTCTCTCTCTTTCCCTATCTCAGAGCTGTGTGGTAGAATATTGGCGTATTTCTTTACACAAATATTTCTCATTCTATGGAAATCAGCTACCACGTGAAATCAAACAATGAAGCATTAAATACGTGTTGTGGTACAGTTGCAGGAGAGGCAATTGTTGGTTGTCACATTCACATTATGCCTGACATTTGCTTTCCGTTGGGTTTCCTTAAATGAGTTTTTCTCACAACCAAAACTAACCATGAATGAATTGCCTGGCTGCACAGCTGAGTCTGCTTTGAAACCGCTTAAATTATTTTTTTACTAACATTTTCTCAAGGAAATGTAAAAGCAGCGTGTAATATATTCCCCTGCTTCATTTTATTTTCTGCTAAGAGTTTATCTTAGGGAGAGACAGTTTTCCCCATAACGAGGTAGTTAGACACACATACCCACACAGAAACCAATGCTTTTTAATTTGTTCCATTATATTTCTCCTTCTTTTTTATCTTCAGACAGAAATATTGAGTATTTATTATATACTGCCCAGAGTCATTTAGGTGGGATGGATGATCTATAAATGATGTGATGACAGATGATAGATGATAGATAGATAGATAGATAGATAGATAGATACATAGATAGATAGATAGAGAGAGATAGAGAGATAGAGAGGTGGGATTCAGCCGGTTTGTGCTGGTTCAGGCGAACCGGTATTTTAATTGCTGTCTGGCCCTGCCCCACCCCTTCCAGGAGTCCCCACATACCCTGTTTTGGCTCCCAGGTAAGTGCAGGGAGGCCTACTAGACTCAAAATGGGGCACAGGGCCTCCCCGCGGCCCGTTTTTTGCTTCCAGGAGGCCCAAAATGGGGTACGCCCCCCCCGCAGCATGTTTTTGCTTCAGGAGGCTGCAGGGAGGCCTACTAGGCCCAAATGGGTTCTAGGGGGTGTGGCACCCCTCTGCGGCCCATTTTTGCTCCCAAGGGGATGCAGGAGGCCAAGTGCTGCCTGTCACACTCCTGGCCACACCCACCATGGCCATGCCTACCCAGCCGGTCATTAGGGCAGAGAACCGGTTGTTAAATTATTACCGGTTATCTGAATCCCACTACTGGATGGATGGATGGACAGACAGACAGACAGACAGACAGACAGACATATTTAAATTCAAAGAACATGAGGTGGGGACAGGAAGCAACTGTAGGGACACCCCCTTAGCTGCTTCTATAAGAAAACTCTAAAAAGCACCTTCAATCCCTTACTTCCATGGCTAGCTCTGTAGCAAAGTGCAATGGAACCTGGGAAAAGAATTTTCTATTTTTTTTTCCCAATACATTTTTATTATAATAGTTTTACAAAGAACATAAAAAAATCAGAAGCTAATAAAGAGTACAGGAAGCAAAGAAAGCAAAAAAAAGGCAAAAATGTGGACAGAATAACGAAAGAAGGTGAAGGGGCTTCTGATTTCCTTTGCAGCAAATATAAATACAATTACAAAGTTATTGCTTATTTTTTTATGATTATGAAAAAAAATCTCTTTTTTTCTATCATTCAGAGGTTGCTTTTTCTTCTAATCAAACCCACAGATCATGAGTGTGGTTTTTTTTTTTCCCCATTTCATGCAATAAGTCTTATCAGAGGTTTCCAATCAGCTATAAATTTAGATACTGTTTTTTCCCCCCCTGTGATCAAACAAAGTAATTTAGCCATCTCTGCAAATTCCATTGTCTTCATCAAACGTTCCTCTGTTGTGGATAGTGTCAAACCTTTCCACTTTTGACTGGAAAAAGGAACACTTGACTAAATTATTATCCTATCAACCACATAGAAATAATTTAAGACTACTTTTTTGTAGCAGGGAAAGGAAAAGCTAAGTTTCCTCTCTTGATCTTAATCGGCTCTGTACCCCCAGAGAAGAATTAGTAGATGCTAATTTTAAAAAAATACATAGAAAAATCTTACTGTTTTAGAATTCCCAGAATTCCTCCATTATGACAAGTTAGGAGGCGCGATGGAAATTTTGGATCAGTAATT